CAATGCTCCTCCCAATCGGGTACTCTAATACAAATAGAGAATATCTCCTTTTTGGAAAAGGATCTCATGTCAGCACAAATCCCATCCTAATTTGGCCCACTCACTCACAAAAGGCCACTCTAATGCGCTCGCACCTACGCAACACACTACACGCTCTCTTCTATCCCCCAACTTTGCCTCTTCTAGTGAAGGTAATCAATTACCTGTTACAAACCCAAGAACCAATAATATCTTTGAGGTGACACCCCCTGTCAATCCCTCAAGACTAATTGCAAAAGGCAAATTGTCCCACACAAAACCCAAAGAGGAGATGGACTATAATGCTTCTCCCTCCTCCTGTCCTCCATTCACCCGTAGTCACACCACTAGCCTCATTCACTCTATCCTCTCTTTTTTTTTATGGCCGAGAAATCCGTCTGGGGCCGATCCTTTGGACCAACCGCAGCCTTCAAAACTCGGTGGATAATGGGTTCACCCCTCTAGCCTTCTCCACTTAAATACCAGGCTTTGCTTTTGCATGGTGTGAGGGCTTGAACCTGTGACCTAAGACACAAATCCCCCACCTTTTGCCACTTGAGCTAGGCCCTGGGGGAGCCTCATTCACTCTATCCTTTCTGATAGAAAACAACAACCCTCCTTCCCAAACACAGACCACAACTCCGTTAACTATCTCCACACCCTAATGCCTCCAGCCTCTAGAGCTCAAGCCGAAGTCATGGTTGGAAATGGCACTCCAAGGACATACCCAGAACCTCCATATGATAGTTGGGTCGGTCCCAATGGAAATAACCATCCAAAATCCCAGGTACCTAGCTCGACTAGCCACACAACTTCTCCACCAGGGTCTGGCAAACTTTGGTGTTGCAAACTTTGGACACCAGTTATGGATGTCCACTTTACTCCAAGCCCAGTACATAAGGCACCAACAACCTCTTTCCATCGAGGAACTCAACAAACTCATGGCCTTCTTCCCACTCATGAACCTGGAGGCTCCAGTCCCATCTCCAACCTTCCAACTCTGGCCACCAATAGTCCAAGTTCCACAGCCACCACCATTACAACCACTCTCACCCATCAATCTTCTGAGCAGGGGCACCACCATGGCATTGCACTATCTCAAAGAGTCCAATGTGGACTTGGAGAACATGCTAGAAAAATTAAGGATGCCAAAGACAAAGGCATTCCTCATGCAGGAACCATTGGAGATAGAGTTCAAAGAGTAGTCGGAAGAAATGTTTATTGTTATGTGCCCCAAAAAGCTCATAAGCTCAAACTCGATCTCCGGGTACACTCATTTCCAAACTCATAAAACTCAGCAGTGATTGGTCCCTCTGGTGGGTACCATGAACCCAATCCTAGTGAACAAAAGGGAAGGGAATCAAAAGGAGAGATCCAACCCAAGCACCCTCTTAATGAACTTCATAATACAGAATGCTAGGGGGCCAACATTGCGGAGTTCTGTAGGCACTGCTCATCTATGGTGAAGCTCCATAACCCTGCCATGCTGGTCTTGCTGGAGACTAGAATGGCAGACCACAAACATCTAACTGATAAGCTCAAGTTTGATGCCGAATTCCAATCCCCCTACTATTGGACAGTCTGGTGGGATTGTTCTCATGTGAAAGGATGATCTGGTTAAGTTAGAAGAAGTAGCTACTACTCCACAGGGAGTGCATGTCATAGTCAAGGTACTCCCCTCCATCACTAAATAGCTTTTTTCTTCTATATATGCTAGTAATTGTGTCAATAATAGAAATAAGTTCCGGAATACATTAGAGGATCTGGCTTCTGTGTATGGGGTAGTTGGCTTCTTGGAGGGGATTTCAATGAACTTCTAAAAGCCATAAGTTTGGGGGTAATAGCTTGAACACTAATAGAAGCAATAGATTCTGAAAATGCTTGAACGGTTGCAAATTAGTGGACCTAGGTTTTAAAGGCTCTAAATATACTTGATGTAATAAAAGATACTCCAATAAGCAAGACCTAATCCTAGAAAGACTTGATAGGTGTTTTGCAACTGATACTTGGATTGAGAAGTTCCCTGAATCAACTGTTACCCACCTTCCTAGGAATCACTCAGACTATTGTCCTCTCCAACAGAATCACAACAGGGCCAACAAGCCTTTTAAGTTTGAATCTATGTGGTGCAGCCACCCTGACTTCATCCCTCCTGTGGAGGGCAGTTTTGATGCTAGTACTGATATCATGTAAGCTACCTCTATTTTTACCAATAGAGTAGCTGACTAGAATAAACATGTCTTTGGCAACATCTTCCATAGGAAAAGGCATATTCTTGCCAGACTTTCTGGCATTCAGAAGTTCAATGCCTACCCCTTTAGCACTTCCTTCAGGAGCTTGAAGCCAAGCTTCAACATGACTTCTCTGTCATTCTAAAGAGTGAAGACTTCTGGAAGCTTAAATCCAGAATTAATTGGTTAAGTGAGGGTGATGCTAACACTAAATTCTTCCATATATCCACGCTTAACAGAAGGAGGAGGAACAGGATCATGTCCCTAAAGGATGAGGTGGGGAACAATATTCAGAATCCCAAGGACATTAAAGACACAATCCTTAACTACTTCACCAAGATTTATACCCCTGAACACCATAGCTCAATGCTGAACAAGATCCACATCACTGATAGTACTAATGTACAGAATACCAGGGAGCAGGACACCACTGACTCCACCCTTAGGCTCTCTGAAATCAAGTGTGCCATGTTCTCCTTCAAGGCCATGAAGGCACTTGGGCCTGATGGCCTCCACCCCTTCTTCTATCAGAAGTGCTGGCACATAGTCTCTAACAGTGTAATCCAATTCTGCAACACTGTCTTTTCCATAAGTATGGTCCAACCTGAAATAAACCAAACCAACCTCCGCCTCATCCCTAAATGCCACTATGCTGAAAAACTTCAGGCCAATTGGTCTGTGCAACACAATGTATAAGTTGATCACTAAGATCATTGTCAATATAATCAAACCATTGCTTCAAAACATCATTAGCCCTACTCAAGCCAGCTTTCTAGCCAATAGAAGAGCCGCTGATAATGCCATTATGGTCCAAGAGTACATTTCCCACTTCCAAAACATGAACGGTAAGAATGCCAGCATGATTCTGAAAGTGAACTTAGAGAAGGCTTTTGATAGGTTAGAATGGTCTTTCATCAGAGAATCCTTTCTCTTCTTCAAGTTCCCCATTAAACTTACCACCCTCATCATGTCCTGTCTCAATACAACCTCCATCTCCATCCTTGTCAATGGTACCTAGACTGATTACTTCAAGCCCAGCAGAGGCATTAGGCAAGGGGATCCTATGTCTCCCTACATGTTCATCATATGCATGGAAAGGCTTTCAAGAGATATTGACAATGCTGTAACTGATAAGGATTGGTTCCCTATCAGTATCAGCAGGGGAGGGCCTAGAATCTCCCACATATTCTTTGTTGATGACCTCACTATGTTTGCCAGAGCAAATAAAAAAAAATGTGAGACAATCTTAGCCATTTTGGGCAATTTCAATGATGCATCTGGGCAGAAGGTCAACCTCCAGAAATCCAAA